CTGCCCCTGAACGTGGAGTCTCGTTTAAGCTGCCCTACCTGTTCCAGAGCCATTCCGGGGCAGAAAGCCTGGCCAGAGCACATGTATTTCCTCTTCCCCTTGATCAGGAAGAGCCCAACGCCTTTTATTCAGCAGAAGCTTCGTTGAGGAGGAGGCACACCAGACCACTAAACGAAGCACAATGGAAGATGGGAGTGCAAGAAGCCGCTGGGGAAGGAGGAGAAAGCCGAAAGCCCACAGAGTCGGAGAAGGGCCCTTTCCTTACGACCCCCACTGCCAAATGTCCCGACTCAGGACCACTGGCTTGTTTGGCTGGAGGGAGCAATCCTTCCTGGAGCCAAAGTGGCTGGCAGGAGGCAAGGCAGGGAGGATCTCCATCCACCCCATCATCTCGAGGGAAATTTAAATTGAGCACATTTCTAGGGACCTGCAAGCAATTTTCTACACTCAATTATCTCGCCTGGAGTCATTTCAGTGTCAGAACAAGGCTCAGGAGACTCTTCCGGAGACTGCTCCATTGAAGGCCCGGGGAAAATAAAGGCTCCCTTTACACCCATTCCAAGGAGAGAGATCAGTCAGTCACAAACTGGTGTAAGCGGCCTCTTTTTCTCATCCATACCTCCTCCTCCACCACCCAGGCCTTAACCTCGCCTTCAGTCATAGGAGGCCTTCCTTTATAATTTCCTTTGGACTCTACCTCCATCTATAAAGTCCACAGGCCTGCCTACTCAAGGTTCATGGCCCAGATCCAGAGGATTTTCCCATGCATCTATATTTTAAACTTCCTTAAGGTTTCTAAAACTATCCCGTCCCAACCATTTCCCAGCTCTGTGCGTGGAACTGTTTGCAAAGATACCCGTAAATTTTAAGGCCATTCTGGTGGGTATCGGGAGACCACCCACAGTCTACCCAAAGTGCTGGCTTCGGCTGTTGAACTCTGGCATTTATTTTCTGTCCAAAACAGCTGCTGGGGGTGGAGGGAGCAAAAAAGCACGTGAATCAGTCCTTAATAAGACTGCCCACCTGCGGGTTGAGAACCAAATGGTCGATGAGACACCTAAATATATCTGGAGCCCAATCCTGTGTTTTCTGGTCACACTGGGGACCAAGAAACCCACCGCAGGATCTTCCCCCTTCTCATCAACCCTCATCCCTTGCATCTTTTCATCTCTACACCCTCCTTCGCACATGCCCACCACTTTCTAAATACTGCCCTCCATTGTTCTTTTGTCTGGATATTTTGGCGGTTTGGATTCTAAGTGGGGACTGCATGCCATGGTTTATTTTTCATTCCAGTGGCTTGTTTCCACTTCACGTTCCATACATTCACACTGTAAAGGAAGCCTTTAAGAAGGAGAGTCTAGGGAAGGGTCATGAGGAGCAGAACCAAAAGCTAAGCTTGGCTCCCCCCAATACTGTATATATATTGTGAAAGAATTCCATCGAAGCATGGGAAGACAGCTTCGGTTGGGATGCATCAGAGACGATAAACCCACAAGGCAAATAGTTGAAGTAAACAAATTCAGAAACAGGAAGCTTTTTCGAATCAGGAAGTGAGCTGGGCTCAAAGGAGACTTGAGTAACATTTTGAATGTGGGACAGCATCAACTTGTGATCTTCAGTATGAATTCTGACTGCCAAGGAGTGAATGTAAGAAACTGTCAGCAGACGTCAGATACAAAATGAAATAAGCAAATGCCGCCACCACCCCCAACCCATACTCAGTCATAATCAAGAGTCCATCTAGTCTAGCACCACTTCCAGAGAAGATAAACTCGCAGTATAACTTGGTTATACATAGGTTTTTCAGGCTGTCTGGCCATGTTCTGGAGGTTTTTCTTCCTAATGTTTCGCCAGTCTCAGTGGCCGGCATCTTCACAGGACAGGAGTCAGAACTCTGTGTTCTGGTATAGTGTGTGGGATAGTTGAGTATTTTTAGCTGTGGGATCAGCTTTTTGTCCTTTTCAGGAGATTGAGTGATTATGGTGTTATAGGGTGTTTTTTTGTTATGGGTGTATTGTTGTGATAAGGGGGGGAGATGACCTGTCACTGTGATTGATGGGTGTTGTTAGCTAGTCTTTTGTGTGCAGTGAAGATGCCGGCCACTGAGACTGGCGAAACATTAGGAAGAAAAACCTCCAGAACACAGCCAAACAGCCTGAAAAACCTACAACAACCATTGGATCCCAGCTATGAAAGCCTTCGAGAATACATACCAGCATTACTCTTCCTTATAAAACTAGGCTACTATCATTTTATACATGGAGCGGCCATGGAAGAGAGGTCAGAAACCAGAACACAGCCATTGGTGATTTAATTGTAGCAGACCAATGAAAGAACACAACTCCAGTTTTGAAGCCACTAACTTCCAGCTACAATTTGGGATTATCAATCTGTAGGTCAGAATTTTAAAGCCTCTCCTACCCACGTCTCCCCAAATAAAATACCCAGTCCTACTAGCAACATATAGGGATCGATTCCCCTCTACCGGGCTGATGATTTATCTGCACGGCTCCATGGAAAAGCGGGAGAAGACCCTGGCTGTTGCACGGCAGGCCGACCTAATTTAACAGCCAGGCTCTTAAAGATTCTTGTGAGCAACTCAACTCTTCTGGCTACACCTGCAAAACAACTCAAATCTGCCTAAATGAGTTTAACCCAGTTATCACAGCAGCATCCTGGAGTGAATAATTACTGAGCTTAGACCCAACATAAGGAGCTATTTTGCACAGTACATTCACTGGGCTCTCTCTCTTATAGTCCGACCCACAACAATTCATTAGCCGATCTTTCCAATTCGAGGCCATCTTTTCCCAGCCTCATCTGGAGATGGTGGGAATAAAACCTGTATGGAAAGTGCAGACTGTTATCACTGAGGGGCTGCTGCGCTTTTGTTTTTCCCCTTTAAAAATAAAACCAAGGGGTGATACGGCACCAGGACAGCCCTAACAGATAGAAGAAGCAGGAGTCAGCTTCAAGCAATCAGAAAAAGTAAAATAAAATGAAGGGTTTAATTCTTTTGTACCCTTTAAAGCACAAAAGAGTGACACAGCAAGAGGGGAGATGGGGTTCAAAAGGCTTGTATGTTCTGAGAATTTATCTTACCAAGCATAACGCTGCAAACCCAGCTCCGCTTGCTTCCACAACAGAAAGAGTAAAGGGTGTAAGAGAAATCTAAGCAGCAGAGGTAAGCAGATTCAAGTGAAGGGCCAAGTGTAATTTTTTTTTAATTGCCATCGTTCCCATCATCCCAACCTCTTTACTCAGATCCATAAGGAGGCTTCAACATGGCATAGATGGCTACTATCTTAGTCTCAGATATTAACTCAGGAACCAACCAACAACACCACTAGCACCTAGTTTGATGGATCCTCATCTTAAACACTTTAAAAGTTCAACGTGATACAAATATCTTAAACCTAAATCATCAAGAACTCATGGGGAGACAATTCAAACCTTCACTGATGACCATCTACCAGGAATTCCAGCCGTCCAGGAAATACACATCAGAAGTCCACAATATGTGGCCGCTTCTCCTGGACGGTGGCACGGAACTGGCGTAAGTGCAAAACAAATCTCTTATTTCAAGTTGGGCCTCACCATCTATGGAATAGTGTCAGGTTTCTTTTTTCCTGGGACAAAATTTGAATAGCATTTTCAATGGGCCATTAACACGGAGGACCCATGTTTTTGAATAGGTTTGTAAATTCCACGCGGTTCTCGACCATAATCTCTATTATTGTTCTTATTTTTCAAGCCTGGGGATTTTAGATTTATGAACATAACTGCTAAGCCACTGGTTGCCTGAGAGGTGCTTTGACTCGCAACCTGAATATGGAGCCCCCAAGCAGGAAATAGGTGCCTGCACAGCAAACCTTGCCAGTCAACTCAAGATATACTCAAGGAGACAAAGAAAGGTTCATTTCACAAGATAATTTGACTTGGGGGGGGGCAGGGCAGGAGGAAATGTCTTCTGAGTCTCAAACATAGCCATCAGCCAGACCATGGGCAACCCCCCCCCTTTCTGTCTATTCCAAAACCAGTTCTGGAGAATACTCTTGAGTCAGCCTCCTTCAGAATTCTTTAGAGACTGGAAGCCACAGTCATTTTATAGCGGAGGAAAGAATCTTGGACTGCTTTACTGACATTCTTGTTCGTGACCTTTCCACATATTAAAAGGCTCAAATAGCTCCATAACCATGAGAAACAGAAACACTAACATTTCCAGAACTGGTCCCTGGGACTTTTTAGCAAAAATGGAGAGCTTGGTTCTGGAACAGATAAACTGCCCTTGATCGACTCTTTTGTGAATGATATATATACACGCCATTTGGCCTCCCTAAACATTTGGCCATAAGAACTGGCTTCATTGACAGCAAAGCAGGTTTCAATCCCCCAGGGGATTTCCCCCCCCCCAGCTAATGTGTAATACAGAGATGCTGTCAATTTGCCCAGCTGATGCCCTTATGTAAGAAACTGCATTCAAACACCCCCTGAATCATGCACGGAGTTTAAACCCCCACCACCACTTCCTGCAAAAACCAGGAGCAGATTTCAATGACCTTCCCGCCTTCTTCCCTCCCACCTGCATGAGGGACCATCTTCACCACCTGTTTGCTGTTCACCCCTTGCTGGAGTCAAAAGACACCCCCCCTTCCCGCATAGGATGCCACACAGGCAAAGAAAGAAAGAAAGACAGGGAGCAAGTAATTCTGACAAAGAAAAATGCAGTTCCTCCTGCAGTATAACAGAAGGCCTCTTCCTGTTCCCACACAAAATTAATGAAGACCGGCTCATATTCCCAGCCGTAGGGGCTAGAAACAGCGGGATGGTTTCAGCCACCAAGAAAAGCTTCCCGGTGCCTGTAGGAGTTATTAACTCCAGCAAATGCTACCGGCCACAAGCACACGGCGCATTCCTCTGATCCAGAGAAGCAAAATTATCTAACTCTTTCCCAGTCCATTTCCTTCCCCTTCCAACACCCACCCAAAACATCTTACCTTTGGCCTGGCAGTCGGCACAGTATCGGTTCTCCTCTTCTAGCAGAAGATTCGCAAGGACCGCTTGGTACCTGTCCACATCCCGGACGGATTTGCCTGTCATTGCAGATAAGCGATGGCTCCGCAGCAGCGAGGCAGCCTCTTGGCGGGGATGGGGGTGGGGTGGGGGGAGAGAGACTAGGGAGCAAAAGGCCAAGATCCCCTCTCTTCCCCTCGCCCTCTTAAGCAGGCCTCTCCAGCCTCCCCACCCGAAAGTTTAGCTCACACCCCTCCACATCACCCAGAGTCTTGCTCCAGAGAGAGAACACGGTCTTTTCACCCAGCGAGACTTCCGCGGTTGCTCCCTGTCGAAAAGGCTTTCTGCTACGCTCAGTCTGGCACTGCCCTATACACACACACACAACACAATATTGTCACACACTTTGTAATACCTCCCAGAACCTTCCCCTCAAATCCACACCCCAGAAATGCGCTGACATCCACCCGGCTGTCAAGGGTTAAACTCTGTGTCCTTCGACAACCTCACCCTGGCCGCAGCTGGCCCCTCCCGGCGCTGCCCAAACGGAGGACATCAGCAGCCCCCAACGCTTTCCCCCCCCAAACCAAAACCAACACAGATGCCAAAGGATCCCCTTGATGTCAATTTAAAGCCCCTCAGCTGTCTGGAGCTCCCCCCATATGAGGAACCCCACAAAAAGCAGACGTTGCAGAACCCCAACTGGACCCTTGGAGAGGGGCAAGGTCTCAAGACCAAACCCCCGCCTGCACAAAGCCAGACCAACTGGGGTGGAAAAATCTTCAGGTCAACCCTCACCCCCCCCAAAAAAAATAGCTATATTCAATGAAGCATGGGCTGGCGCCCCCTCGTTTCAAGGAAGGCCCTTCCTCCCCTTGGCTATCCCA